CACACACACACACACATACATACACACACAGTGTGCGGCAGATGTGATTAACCTGCAGGCGTAGGATGGGGCATATTTTCCCAGCCTGCCCAAAGCACTGCTGTGATAAGAATCTATACTCGCTGCAAAACAGAGACTCCCAGTCTGTTAGCACACAGCTGTGCAGCGTCTCAGATATCAGCTCCACATAGTTTACGTCTCCTCGTATAGCAGCAACTTATATATATACGATTTTAAAACACATAAAAAACGTGAATGATTGGAAATAAAAAGGGGGAGGGGGGGGGGCAAGTGAATGATTATCTGCCTCGGAGCACAGACGGGTCGTCTGGTTTGTAAATGAAATATAAATGAAGTATCCAGATGTTAAGATGTTTGGCTTTTAAAACTATCTTTCCAGTTACTTCCTAAAACAAAGTCCCTCCCGTTGGAGTTGTAATAAACTATAGATCACGTCCTTTTCCTGTTAAACGCTGCAGCGTGAGTCACGTCCAGCTTCACAACTCAAGACCGTGAAGTTCTGTTGGAGATTTATGACTCGGATATTTAATGGTTTCATCAGACTCTGGTTTACTTTTTCTTTTATCGTGAAAAGTATAAATTTATGTTTATTACATGACACTGAAACGTATATTAAAGCTCCACTATGCAGAGAATCCAGTGGATATAAAACATGTATTTGAAAGGAAAAGTTTAACTTATTGGGAAATTGACTTATTTGAATTCCTGCTGAGAGTTAAATGGAGAGGTTGACACCACTTGTATGTCCCAGGTAGGTTAGCTTAGCATAAAGCCTCGAGGCCAGTAAATAAAGATGGACGACCCATCTCCACTTCTTCCCAGAAAGACTTATGGCAAGAAATCATATAGAACCTAAGAATTCAGCCTGAGTGAAGTTGTGCATGTGTGAACTGGGAGTTGATGGATCACAGCAGTTAAATCATGTGAGGACTAAAGGTTCCCTGTGGCTGAAGCCAGGCAGGAGAGGAAGTCAGCCCTTTACTAACGGACAGTTACGTCAGGCTCTCACCAGCAGCCGCCTCCTGTTCTCAAAGTAGTCCAGGAAGTAGGCCAGGGATCCTTTCGGAGGTGGCGACGGCTTCTTCGTTGGTTTTGGGTAGTCGTCTGTCTCGGGGTATTTCACTTGCTTCTTCCCATTTTTCTTTCCCCCGATCTTCCCCTCCTTCGATGCCTTTCCTCTCCTCTCGGCTTTCTTCAACGCCTTGTCGGTCTTCTTCTTCTTCTTGTCGTGCTTATTGTGTTTGCCCTTGACCTTCTTCGTTGGGCTGATGTTGGTGAAGGATTCGGTCTCCTCGAGATCGACCACGGTGGGGTTGACGGGAACATACCGGTCCTCGTACTCATTGGTCAACACCTGCACAGATAAAGATGTGTCATCGGTTAAATTTCCAAATGCATAACGACCGTAAACCCAGTGTGTCAGTATCTAAAGTATAATCACAGAGAAAAAGAGTTTAGAATGTCACCTTCTCTGCTCCAGTCTTCTTCTTGGTGGGTCTGATCTTGGAGGGTTTGTCTGTAGCAGGTACGAGCCTGCGGCCATGTGGATCTCTGTTGTCCTTGTCGGTGCGGTTATCTCCGGCCGGAGTGGTTTTCTCTCGGCGGGGGTCGTAGTAAGGGTCAGCCGTGGTTCTGGGGGCTGGGAGCCACGGGGCTGTGGTGGGAGCTCTGGTTGGCCTCTGGGTGGTGGTGGTGGTGGTTGGTCTCTTTGTCGTGGTGGTTCTTCTGGTAGTGGTGGCTTTGGTGGTTGTTGTTGTCGCTCTGGTTGTGGTGGTGGTGGGCCGGGTTGTAGTGGTAGTTGTGGTGGTTGGTCGTGTTGTTGTGGTGGGTGGAGCAGTTGTGGTTGTTGTGGTTGTTGTGGTTGTTGTTGCCTGTGTGGGTTTCCGTAGGATCTTCTTCCCTGGTTTTCTTTCTACAGGTGTGTCTACTGCTACACACACACACACACACACACACACACACACACAGAAATATATATATATGAATCCCTGTGTAAATATTTTGAGTCATTGAATCTTTCTTTAAATATATTTCCTCACTTGTCTTCATCTTTTTCGGTTTATCTGCCTCTGAGATCTTTGCCACAGCCTCAATGAAAAGTATATAAATGTGTTGGTGCTTCTCAGAGATAGAATAAAAAAACACGTCGGCTTCAAACCTGGATTTTCCACAAAACAAACTCGGAATGATTTTCCCTTGTGATGATGTCGTGCCAAATAAAAAGCTACTTTTTTCCAGAGAGCGTTGATGTTGAGTTTTTAATGTGATGTTCTATCTGTGTCTGCGAGGACTCTGTCAAGTCTGCATGTTTACAGTACTAGAGCACATGTAGACGGATGGAGGTGGCCTCCCCTCCTGTGACAGTTATATAAAAGATTTTACAAACATTGGATGCTCACCTGTGAGCGTGCCCTCCTCCACTTGACCCTCCACACCAGCTCCTCTGCACTTCTGGACGAAGCCCTTCTGCCGCAGCTTCTCCAGCCTCCTCATGGGCGACTGGTCGATCACCTCGTACATGGCCTCCAGCCTCACAGGGTAGGGGTACCTCTCCTGCACCTGCAGAGTCTTCTTCAGCAGCACCATCCCAAACTTACCTGCAGGTCAGCACATCAATGGTCAGGGGAATAGTGTCATGTTTTTATGCAGATGAGGAGCTGAGCGAACTTTCAGGTGTGTGACCACAACAGATATTAAACAAAACCACACACTCAAACATGCACAAGGTACAGTCACAGTGTCTCCACGTCCCTGAGGACCTGAACCATCTTTACCTTTCTCCAGTTTGAGGACGCTCATGAGTCTGGGGATCAGAGCAGTGTCCAGCGGCTCCTCCATCACCTTCCCCTCTGTGGTGATCCTCCTCACCTTGCCTCCCATCTCCCCCTCCTGGTGAAATATGACGACCTGCTGGACGTGTCGCTCGGCCAGCTCGCAGTACACGTCTGGTTTCAGGAGAGACATCATCAGGCGGTAGTAACCGTCTGAATCATGAGGTGCAGAAATCACCAACACACGGTTCTTCCCTGCAAAGCTGGCCAGAAGGTTTGGTGACCCGGCGCTGCTGGGCATCCGGCTCACCCTGGCTCTGGGCCCTGGAGTGCCCTCATCTTTCTGCACGTCCGGCGCACTGGGGGATCCAGTCAGCTGGGCCACCCGTCTCCTTGGCACCAGCCCCTGGCCCCCTGCTCTCCTGCCCTGCACAGTCCTCGTCCTGGTGGAAACAGGAACACCCTCATCAGCCTGAACATCGTCTTCCTCTTTGGGGCTGTGCACCGAGATGGCCGAGGCAAACCCAGGGCGCACACGTCTGACGAGGCGCTCCTGGTCCTCTGCGTCCCCCTGGGCATGTGCCATTCCAACGCGTCGGTGCAACTGCACCCGCCTGCGACGAGTCTGTTTGTTGGCTTCTCCTGTCCAGGTCAGCAACGACATGAGAACTACACAGAGAACAAAAGCCCTCATTCTGGCGAGGTGTCAGATAAAGTCGGCTGAACACTCACTGAGGGAAAGACGAAGATCCAGCGGTGGAGCCGTGATCCTGACTCGTCTTTAGCGCATCTGAGGTTGTCAATCAATGAATTCCAGATGAAGACAAACACATAATAGATGGAAGTGACAGGGATCTGGTTCAGATCATAGCTTCTGCTGGAGGAACCCACTTCACTGGCTGATCTTTGGGTCACAGACGCGGAGAGAAAGAGAAAAGTTTGCTGTGCGTAAAGTTATATCCACAACTTCGTTTCAGCGACACTTCCGTTTCCAAGAGTAATCCAGGGAGAGTGAGGATCATCTCTGAAACACGAGCTTCCAAAAGTGAAGTAGCTCCTCAACTTCTCGAACACGTCACATCTCCAAAATACACGTTTTCACAGTGCACGAAGTGAACTCATCCAGAGAGTCCTCTGTCAGGGTGTGAGATCCCCAACAAAGTGCGGGTCGAGAGGAAACCTCCGACAAAACGCGTGAAATATGAGTCTTGAGTCCCGCTGGAAACCTGCGTGAGCCTGTGCCTCCTCTCAGGTTCTCCTCTGGCAGGACGGAGCTCTGGAGCTTTTCCCAGAAATGTGCGCACGAACCAAACCTCAGCCTCCGGACTGTTGGCGGCGCAGCGGCAGGACCTGCCCCGGGACCGTCGGCTGCCAGCTCCCTCCGCTACACCCCCCCCCCCTCCTCCAGGAACTCTCTATCCGCAGGCTGGGCTGGTTTCACCGGAGCACAACATAATAAGTGGCTGAGTAAAGAAATACATTGAAAAGTGAAGACCCCTCTGTGGGTCAGATTGCCAGGAAGATAAATGACCACAACCAGACTCAAGTGTCAAGTTCCCCCGTTAAACCAACAGAGAAACGCCCCCAGGTCCCATCCCACCATCACATCCTCCAAGTGGACCAGACTTCCCCTCCAGCTCCAGAGGGCTGCTCCTTCTTCTCCTTCTGCTTTAGAAACCCAGTCTATTTAAACCCAGAGGCTCCGTCCACTGCTCCCACTGTTTACAGCCTAGTGATTAAAAGAAAAAAGAATATTGTCTTTACATGTTTGTTGCCAGAATTGCGATCTTTGCTCTTTAACGACGACTCTTTCCATTTCCTCTCAGAATGTTTCCCCGTAGAGCTTCTAATTAAAGCCCGCAAGTAAAGAGTAAAACAAACCACGAGGCCTGAGCCACATTCACTCTCACTGCAAACGCTGCACAGTATAAACTCCGCCAGCCTCTGCCTGTGCAGTGCAATAACCACAACCTTCTATTTTTACAGCTTTTTCATCCATTTTCTTTTAATTTTTCTGTTTCTCCTCCTCCCTCAGTGCTGAAAGTGATATTCATACTTATCAGCGGTGAGGTTCGATGCAGCTGGACTCAATATACATTCCTGGCTCAGCTTTTGTAAACTGACGCTGAAACATTTCGACAACAAGTGGAATTCTCCTGAATCTTCCCCCCGGTTCAGTTTGACTGAAATACATTTCTTTAAAAACTAAATGATCAGCTGCCACTCGACGACCTCTTCTCCTCCGCAGGATCAGGAGGCTGTCAGCGGTTTGTTTACTCCCTCGCACTGGGACTGGAGAGCTCTCGGCTGTGTGGAAAACAATTGACGTGTCCGTCACATGCAGGCTCCTGAAGCTGCCACTGAATAGATATTTTCTGGGCGATGATGAGAGAAGTGCCTGGAGCATCCTGTGCTCCTCCTGATGTCAGCAGATACTGTCAGAGCAGCTGCAGGGAGGAGGACGCCTGTCAGGGTGACTTCAGTGTGTTTGGGTTCAAGTTGGCAACAAGACGGAGGTTGTGCTCCTGTTTTTAAGGGTCGAACTCGCCAACATGAGCAAACTGTCACATTACTGTTCTGGCAGCTTCACTCTGAGCCACTGCTCGCTGCATGTTTCCTATTCTGAATGTGTGAAGTCTGCAGAAGTCCCTTTGATTTGCTTGTAATTAGTCTCCATGCATGAAATCCCTTTACTCCTCTGTGTATGCAAAACGTTCACTTCACTGTGAAAGAGCAAATCATTCCCAGGACTCCCAGCTGAAGCGTCGGCTGTGGCTCCATCCGGATGCTTCTTTATGACGGAGCTTTACTACGTTCAGACAACGCAGTAAAGTCTTATAAGAGGAGATGTACGCGGTGGCGTCCGTCGCCCATGAGGGGAGCAGATGCACATGTGAAGGCTTCAGATTAAACACATGGATCGTGTTCACATGTGCAACTGATACTGACCCACTGACCTCAGCATCCAGCATCCCGTTGTTCAAACAAAGACAAAGTGCTCCATCCTTTTCTGAACTTTACGACATGATTTCAGCTTCGGGACAGTTGTTAAGCATGTTGCACAAATAAAAAATTAAAATGTGTTAACGCTGGAAAAACAGACAAACCATAGCGTGTTTGAAGGACGTGCTTCTCCCACAATGCACTAGGGACACGATGGAGAAACTACCAGCTGGAAAAAATTTAAAAGGAACTTGCAAATGGATATGAGGCAGCTGTGGGAGGATCTTGGAAAAGAAACAACAAAGCATTCAGTCTTTGTTAAGTTTAACTCTGTGCAGACATCAACAGTTTCACTTAGAAATGTCCTAACGTGTTGGTAGTATGTTGTGCAGCATGGACACGGGGCTCAGCTCGAGTCTTCAGGAAACTTCAGAAAGAACATTTGGTTTTTCCTGCACCACCCATGTCCTGTTAAAATCCAACTCTTCACAAAGTCTGACATCCCACTAAAGAGTCTGCGGACATCTGCGTCTCACATGTTGTGTTCAAAGACCCTGCTGGGGCGTGTAACGTGTCTGAGACTTCTCTGACTGAGAGTTACAGCTCAAGAGGTCGTGATAATTCTCACATGTCCCATAAAACAGTAAGTGGTGTGTGGATGAATGGCAGCCTGATACATTGCTGATCTCAAGACGGCCGGGACTCAGCGGAGGCAGCCACACGTCACAGGTCGACCCCCCCCCACGACCCAAAATGTCCGATTGTCACCGATATTCATGGAACATAAGGAAACTGTGTTTGAGGTCTCATCGGCTGATTCTCTGAGATTTCATTTTCTACATCAGCAGACCGACGGAACGGTGGAAACTCTATCTCACCCCACAGTGA